CAGCTGCCAAACATGGTGGCTGGCTTCAGCTTGCACAGTGACATGCCTAAGCAGCCCCACGCCCAGCACAAGTGGTGACCTTCCTCGGCTTGCATTGTAGCTATTACCAAGCGGGACAGAGGGAACTTATCTCAACATAATGAAGGCCATGTATGCAGGACAAACTACCAGCTCGCATTATGTTCAGCAGTGAAAAGCTAAAAGATTTACCCTTAAGATCAGGAATAAGATGAGGTTGCTAACTATCACGGCTTTTATTCAACCAAGTATTGGAAGTTTTAGCCATGACAATATGACAAGAAAAAAAAAAGAAAAACCATTGTCATTGGAAAGAGAGAGATAAAATTGTCATGATTCACAGATAACATATTATATATAGAAAACCCTAAAGACTCCACCAAATAGACTAGTATAAAATAAAATCAGTAAATTTGCAGGATACAAAATTAATATACAGAAATTAGTATCATTTCTATACACTATAATGACATATCAGAAAGAGAAATTAGAAAAACAATCCCATTTAAAATTACATAAAAAATAAAATACCTAGTAATAAACTGAACCAAGGGAGGCAAAGATCTGTATTCTGAAACTGTAAGATGTTGATGAAAGATACTGAAGTCAATGCAGAGTTAACCAAAGAAGTGGTCAATCTTCTATGAGGAACAGATCAGAGACAGAGTTGCCTCAGATTTCTCAGTACCTGGGCTGTGGTAGCCACACAGCCACAGGCACGTGCCAGAGACACCTGGGCTTTTCACACTGGAAAACCCAGAGGGACGGAGATCTTAGGAGAGGCAACCAGAAAACAGTCTCACCTGTGTTTGCGTTCTGGCTTTAACATCCTAAACTTTGTGCACATTTCTTCTCGTTCCCAGTTTTCTCACATTAAAAAGTGGGCATAATAATAATATATGCCCAGGAAATATGTTACTAGAATTAGGTAATACTTATAAAGAACTCATAAATGGCTAGTACAAGCTCATTAAATGTGATTCAGGTTTTACTACGCTCAAAAAATGAACACATCTGCTACCATAAACTAGCCACTGTGACTTGTCCTTTGTGATCACCAGGACAGCTGTGACAAATAGGTATTATTGTTGTCCATTACGATGGAGTATAATCTCTTACAGGTTGCCATTTTTCCCTCAGCAATCCAATCTATATTTTATTAAGGTATTATGCACGATCAGTTATATAACCGGGATTTGTTTTCCTTCTGAAGAAAATCATGAGGGTCATGGCAAGAGGAAATAAAAAACAATATGGTTTAGCATCTGGTAGATGAGGAAAGGAAAGTGAAAAGGCACATGACAACTACATGGCAGGCTGGCTATGCCGGAAACACCTGAATTCTATCCATAAACAGTGGTTCCCCCAAATGCCTCATTGAACCTGGAGCTGGGCCAGTCTAACTCGCCCCACTGTGTCTGAAGAGCCAGAAGTTGGGGGGGCATGTTGCAGGACTTCACTTACTTAGACATGAAGGTCCAAAGAAAGGAAAAACAAATTCAGTGACAGTTTTAGTGAGCAGCAAAAAGCTCCTTTGTGCAAACTAACAGAAAGAATCTAACTGAAATATTCTCCGAATAAATAGACAATATTTAATATTGAAAACATATTATAAAACAAAACAATGGAAATTCTCTTTCTCTGATTATTTCTTAAAACCCACTGAAGTAATAATTTAATGTGTTTGTTATTATTCATAAACAATTTGAAAGTGCTTTCAGCCTGGTTGAAAAATAAGCATATATATCAACAATTATTATACTCTGATAAAAATGCAGAATGAAATTGGTGTTGGAGTTAGGGCAAAATACATATTTAAGTATTAGAATATGTATTAGAATATCTTGCCAAATACTGGGGCAACTATAATACATGATAAATAATTTAGCCATCTGATTGATGACTTTATATGAACTTGCATATGGTAATAATATCTTCCGTTCCAGTTGTAGTTAGTATAAATAAAGGGAATTTGCCTTCTAATTTTTGGGTCATCCCTTTCATGTAACAATTCAGGTGCAGGTAAATTAGAGAGAGAAGATGAATAAATCAGAAAAGAGTTCACCCATAAAGATAGAAGAATACAGATGCAGGTAAGGACTCAAAGCCAGTTTCAGATCATTTGAATTTCAAATCTTAAGAAAGGACTACATGTGAACAGCCATTGTTATATTTTCTGGGTATATTCCCTTTGTACTTAAATCCAACAGCAGTAACCAGTAGCGGAGCATATGGAGACTTAGAATTTTATGCCCTAAAGGCCAAAGTTGTTAATATGAACTCCTGGAAATCCTTGAACTAAGTGCACCCCATATTCCCCAGATGCAGGGGCCGGGGCTGGAACTGGTTTCCGTGGTGCCCTCCAGCATGGATGTCCTGGGAACGTCAGGGCATCTTTCCGTCGTGTCGCAAGCAGCTCTAATAGGTCACATCCCTGGGACACTTACTGGGCATAAGCCCAGATGCCTCTCTACCTTCACCTTTAAATTAACCTGATTCTCAAGTTCTTCATCCTCTTTGCCAGCTTTTCTCCTTGCTTCTTTCCAGCAATATTTGTTCAGAAGCCCGCAAAGGTTTGAGTTACAAATCCTGATACCTAGTGTCTAGAAATAAGATTCCCGCCGCTTGCCGAGGTGCTGTAAAAAACGAGTCCTTTGTGCTCTGGAAGCCGAGTTCTGTGTCAGGCTGCTCTGAGCACTGCCCCCTTAGCTCCGGCGCCTATTGTGACAACCCGGAGTCGACAACAGAGACAGACCCAAGGAGTGCAAAGTCCCGATCATGTGCTTCTAAGGACCTGAGAAATAAGGCACAGGGAGTCCCGATTCTGAACTGAAATGCTAACACTGGAACAGACCGATCACTGGGCAGAGTCCTCACGGGAAAAAAGGGGAGCTGTAGACAGAAGCCCACAGTTCCACACAGTAGCTCAGCACAATAGGCTGTTTTGATGTATGTTTCTGCAGACTTGCAGAAACTTTAAACAATGCATAAAATATAGGGCATAAACACCTGATGCTTAAAAATCAAAGAGGCATTCTTAATCTGGTGTCTATTTAAGGAAAATGTTCAAATTTAACAAAAATAGTCATATTTAACTGAATGTTGACCAAAACCCTCAAACCAATAATCTTACACTAATATATATATACACACACATCATATTCGAGATTGAAATCTAATAGAACTCTATCTCACTCACTTTCAGTAACCACTGGGTAATGATTCTTAACTAATTAGAATTATCAGGCAACCTAAATTGCAAAGAATCCCTAAGTCTTAGGTACAAAGTATTTTGTAAAAAAATGAAGCAAGCTTCATTAGACAGACAGCCTTAAAAAATCAAAAGCTAATTAACCATTGGGTATGATTAAATTCTGGGGATTATAATTTTATCTTATTCCTTTTTGGTGACGAACTGGTCAAGTTCAAAAAGAGTCATTAACACACTGTCTATCCCTCCTTTTCTCCTGACTCTCTTTCTGGGCTCAAGGTATTGCCATTTTAAATACTAAGGCACATCTTTACCTTCCTATCTAGGTTATTCAAGTACTGCAGGATAAATATGCAATTTGCATCATTACTATTATGTTTTGGAACCTGGTAGTACAATCAAAAGTAGTTTTCAACGGTTCCGTGATTTTCCAAAATGTATTCTAGTCCCTCACATTCTAATCAGTCATTAACTGGGAGTCCAGGGAATTTCTAATATCATTTCTAATGAATCTCTGCACCTGTACAAAGCTATCTGAAAGAAATATTTTATTCCCTTTTAGAGTTATTTGGTTAGCTGAAATTACGGATGATTATAAATTCCATTTTTATGAGTATTTCCACTGTATTAGTAAGTAAGGCTTAGGTTGCTTAATAGGTTGAGGACTTGCTTCATCGATAACACTTAAAACGTATGAAACGGCCACTCCATGACAGGCACATGACTTACTTAATTTTCACAACAACCTTACGAGTCCGGGGCCATTATTTGTCCCTTTCAGATTGACGAGCCGGCCAGCCTAAGGGGACTCAGAGCTGCCCTGGTGAGGGAGCAGTGCATGTGGGAGGCGGCCAGAAAAGCTAGCTGTACCTACCTCCCTAAGTCTGGTGTGTAACCGTTACACAGTGACGACTCCCGTTGCCACATTCTGCCTCTACAAAACTGTATCAGAAACCAATTTACAGATTCTGTTAACCCCCGAGAAAACGCATGGCATGGTCTCAGATGCAGCAAGAAAGGCTTGTGGCCCTTGCTGCAGGAAGCTACCACACTGGGAAGGAGAATGCAGCCGAGGAATAAAACCAATAAAACATCGGGAGACGGGCTGGACGTCTCCCAATGTTTAAAAGGATGCTGTATAATCTCTTAGAAAAGCGGCAGTTCTAATATGAGTTATAAATCTCATTTCACCACATAGTAATCACGGGAAAGTACCATTAAATACGTTGGTTCTTCTTGAGGAATTAAAACTTTTGCACTGCTGAAATTGCAATCTTTTTAAATTTGCACAAAATTATAAAAACCACCTTAGATCTTTTCTGAGAAAAGCTAGGGTATAAAGCATAATTCGTAAAATCAGCCTATTGCCAAAACAACATAGAAAAGATTCTTTCTAATACATGTCCTCTGCAGAACATTCCAAGGCAAACAGCCAAGATATGGTAAATTACAAAAAAAAGAAAGAAAGAAAGAAAGAAAAAACCCAAACCCTAAACCCAAACCTTGAAAAACATTCAACTTTAAACATAAGCCATTAATTTTTTCCTACTGTTTTAAAAAGAGCCCTGACATTTCTTTGAGTTATTATATTTTTAAAATATACCACTGGCAAGCACAGCTAGTGATCATGGGCTGCTCAGGTGGCAAATATTTACCATCACATAGATTATTCCCATAAGTTCTCGGAAAGGTGCTTAAAACGCACAGCCAAGAGAGAAGTCGCGACGTGCGTGGCTGCGGGTGCCCCTACCGCTGTGAACACGGCACCTACCCAGGAGCGTCAGGATGCAGGCGAGGATGGCGATGAGCGCTCCGGTGCTGAGGCCCGCGGGCAGCACGTAGGCCTCGGCGTTGCAGGTCTGCGCTATTCCATCCGCGTCGCAGTCACAGACGCGGATGGTGAGGGTGTTGGTGCTGCTGAGGGAGGGCGACCCGCTGTCCACGATGAAGACCGGCAGGTAGTACACGGACTGCTCCTGCCTCCGGAAGCCGGTTCTCCGGGTGAGAACGGAGGCTGTGTTGTCTGGGAGAAAGCAAGCAAAGCTATTAACGCGCGGTTTCTGATGGAATCAGTCCCGCCCACTCCGTCTTATTCAGGTCACTCTGTTCAGTTCCTTGGAACAGAGAGCAGTATTTCTAACATCAGTTCATGTGAATGCATTTTAGTGTATCTGTCCTGCCATGCAATTAACACCAAAGAAACAGCTGTAAAGTAAAGCTGACTATGAAAAGGTTTATCACTTCTAATAGACCCTGCAACTTGGTAAAACAAATTACATGTGATACACTATTTTAATTATTTTAAATGTCAAACCATACCCTTATGGAGAGGCTGCAATAAATGCACAGGTTAAGTATTTTAGGAGCATCATCAGACAGCGTAAGTGAAATTCAAACGCATTCTCCGACAAATTCCAAATCCAACAGAGAAACTAGTGAGATAAGCCACTGTCGTTTCATTTAAATTGAGCTAGTCAAGAAAGGAACTAATTTATAGCTTTTAAAAATCCATATCGGTGTATATCTGGTTACCAAAACCCCATGTATATAAACACTTTGTCGATGATAACATGGGTCCTTTGTATTTAATTGATACTCGACATTTTATTTCATCTAAACAATTATAGTAACTACAAAAGTTTGAACAGTGACCAATAACTGTATCACAGAACTGCGATTTCTTCTATAACCGAAATCGATTTTTTTATCTGCTAGCAATCTATCCAGCTTACGCATCTTAAAGAACTAATTAGGAATTTATGGGATTCTTCAAATACACAGAACGAATAAAGGACAAGGAGGACAACCAGGACCTTAGGTCCATCGGTGTGCTCTCCAAGCTGTCAACAAGCAGCTTATCCAATGTTACCATTAAAAAATGAACAGTATTCTAATGGAAGAGGAAGCTGAAACCCACTGTCTTGTGAGTATGAATCAGCAAGCTCACGTGACTGCAGAAACATGCAATTACAGATGTAGCAGGAATAAAGCTTTAATTTTCAGATTCTACCTGGTAGGTTTTTATGTAAGGCAAATCTTTTAAAATATTTGAATTTGAGAGGCCTTCATTAAAAAATTACATGTGGAGTGGTTGAAGAATATTTCCTTGAGTATGTTTCTATATATGAGGGGGGACCCCCAAACACTGAAATTATCTTCCAGAGGGTGGGCCCCCTGTAGTACAGACTTCCCCCACTAGGTGAGTGTTCCAGGAACCCATGGGTGTCATTGCACCAGCTGGCGCTGTTTGAGAGGCCGCGTTCTGCTTCAGTGAATTCTTTTTGAAGACTCTTTCAGTGTGTTTCCCCCTTTCGTGCTGGGTGGGTTATGAGTGTGCCTGTCCACACCGTGCTGAGCCTTCAGCAGTTTTTAAACGAAAAGGGCATGACCCCCAAGCCCCACCCTCCCCATTCATCCAATTTCGCCCCGAGTGACTTTCTTTCCTCAGATGAAAGAAGTCTTCAAAGGAGACATCTTGTCCATGTGGAAGAGATGAAACAAAAAGTGGCGGGACCACTAAAAAGCATCAAAATCGACGAGTTCAAAAACTGGTGGAAAAAACATCTCGGTAAATGTATTGCATCAAATGGAGAGGACTTTGAAGGTGAAGTTTAAACAGGTAAGAGTAAATACACAGTTTTTGATAAGTAAATTCTATTGCTGGGGTTCCCCCTCGTACTTAATAATGCATTTATGTGCACCCACACACACCTATATTTATTCCTCCCAATCGATCATTCAGGTGTTATACATATTTACGATTTGACACATGAAGTTGTTATTTAGTAATCTATAGTGTCGGACAGGAACTTAGTAATCTATCGTGTCTGACATGAAACAACACGCTCACGCAGTGAACCAGCAGCACGCACTGAAATGTCCAATATGCGAGAAGAGAGTCCTCTGTTCCGGAAAGAGATCACAGAGCTCACCAGGTCGGGCACGTGTCTCCCAAGGTGGAAGCCAACACGAGAACCGGCGTTCTGTATATTGCCACATGTCTTCCTCCCAGGTGCTGGGGAGGGAGCTCTGGACTTGACTTAGGGAGATCCTTCAACTGTGTCCTGAAAGTCCAGACCTTCTAGCGCACGTGCTGCCCAGCAGTCACAGCGGTACTGAGCGATGCCACGTGGGGGGATATGCATGCGCCGCTTGGGAAGACCGCAAGTTCTCTGCCTTGTGCTGGAGGAATACAATGCTGGGCACTGTCCCCACCAAGTGCGGTCAGGTCAGAGGGCTTGGGGTTACTCAGGTGGAGAACGTTCTGCTGTCTATCACTAAGGGCGTATGGTAGTGTTCTCATGGAGCAGAGGAGGGAATCAGAAAAAAATATTTCAGATTTAATTTCTGAGGCCACAGTTGGGTGTTCTGCACGGAGGAAGGCAGTGGCTTCAGGTAAAAGCACTTACAATGTCCAGCTTCTGAGAGCGGGGCTTTTTAGACACACCGGGACTTGACTAGCAAATCTTTTTCTACAGTTTTTTTCTGAAATTTGGTTCACATATTAGATCTGAAAGAACTGCATTTTCTATATTGTCAGGGAATACTTTTCTTTATTTAGATATTAGTTGCACATGCTCTTCTGCTAAAATAAACGCCCTGAAGAAAAACCTTGTGGGTATATAAATTTGAGTTCACACAACAGATAGCAGGTTCTCATGCTCCAAGTTCTTCTGATTATGCAGGTGTAATCATAGACCTATAGACCATATGTATATAATTATGTATGTAGAATTAAGCAAGACCAGAACTTCCTTACAGGGATTTGTAAAAATGTTCCTACAATGACACTTAGGACACTGATTAGAGTTTTTACATGTGGAACAGAAGAACAAGATTTGGGCTGGCAGGGAATTCTTTTGTTCTTCTTAATTTCGTATTTCTCTGCATCAAGAATATGTTTTTTTTATTATTTGCATGGATCACTTTTATGTTTAGGTTAAAATAAAAGAATAATTAGTGTTAATATTGAAAATATGAAGTCAAAGTGGATTGAGGTTGAACCATGTCAAACGCAAGTATTTCTTTCCTGATGCCTCCAGTTACACCTGTAGGGTAGTCCTGAGTGAGGCCCTCAACCAGCCCTCAGCCGATTAGAACATTTAAAGAGCTTGGTAGACAAATAAGGAAGCAAACGTCTAGAAAAAATGACAGAGAGAGATGGATCTGGCTTCTCCCCTATTTGGATTTAGGCCTAAAATTATTTAAGTGGCAGCTTCTTCATGACAGCAAATCCATAGATAAAAATTACCTTAGGGACTTATTGCTCTTTAATTAATGTCCTTGCTGATATATTTTTTAAAAAACCATAATCAGCATTCCTGCGTGAGCAAAAGCACTTGCTTAGAGGCCATACCTGCTGCCTCCACCGTGGCAGTCAGGACACCTTACCTTTGTTGTCTTGCAGTGAGAAGTTGTGGTTGTTAGCCGCATCGGTGGTTAGGCTGAAATAAAACTGGTGCCCATTGGACGGCTCGTCTTTATCCACAGCGCTGATTTTCTGGATGACCTAGGGGTGGAGGGCGGCAGGCGTGAGGGCGGGTTGGTGGGCAGGACAGGGAAGATCTGCACCTTAGAATCAGAGCCAAGTTCCTGAATGAGCCGGGGCTTAGGAGCAGATGTACCAACATGAACCCGATCTAAAAAAGGGCTCTGAAAAACAAATCGTGTCCTTTGCAAAATTCACGTTTGAATTTGCCTTTGTGAACCTCAAACATCAGCTGTCCCAACTGATTAAACCGTCCTGGTAAAGATCACAAGACCCCGAACGACACGGATGCACAGAACAAACCACATCTAAGTGCAACTGCACTTAATGCTCAGAACTTCAAGGCACTGCGGGGCGCAGGGTAATGCTGGAGACAGCCCGGTCCAGCCCGATGTGCTCGGTTTCTCCTTAAAGGAGATGAAGGCCTTCACCGTTCGCTGTGGCTTTTACGGTGTTTACCTTTCTTCCTGCGGATTTTTCATCATCCCAATTAAAGCACGATTTGAAAGCGCCTTTCATATTAGTTTATGCGATACAGCAAAGCGTTCGTTTTGCTGAAACATGCTGATTATATTTTATCTTAAAGCTGGCAGAATTTTAGAGGACAACTACCACCGGGTCTTTTGAAAGAAATGGCCAGCCAGAAGCGTGGTGCCGGGAAGGTTCTCACCTGGCCCGGCTGGGCGTTCTCACACACGGTGGTCTCGTAGTCCGTGGCGAACTCAGGAGCGTTGTCATTGATGTCCAGGATCGTGATGGCCACAAAGCCTCTTCCTACTTGGGATGGATTCTCTAATCAGCAGGAAAGGGTTTTGTCATTTACTGTCAGAGCAAAGCAGTTGTTCCCGCTGAGGGTCGCACAGTAGAAGTACTTTCGCTCTAGGTTTCCTTTTATTCGGGAAACTCATATTAAAAAGTTAACGTCAACCAAAACTGTTTGCCTAGCCAAAGTACAAATCTAATAAGAAAATGACCAGGCCACATATCATATCTACTATAATAACATTACAGACTTTAAAGAGAGCTACAGAAAGTCTGATGTAAATGCCATATAATTAACTGTACCTATATACAGATATAGATATTACACCTGTGTATTTGTTGAAAGAATGACCTATAAACCATGTGTTTCAATATTCTTTGATGCTAGAGCTTATATTTGTATGGAGATATTATATATTCTATATGTATATAAAATAATGCATTATAATTATATGTTCGGTTCATGTTTTTCTCATCAGGGGCTAACAGGAGTTCAGTATCAGAATGTGCAAATCTGGGCAGCTTAGGGAGATTGATTTACTGATTTTTGTAAGCTCCCTGACCACTTCTGCATCGGTATAAAGGGAGCACATAAAATACGGCCACAGGAAGGACAACAAGAAGCTCTCCGAAAGGTGACTCAGACCCACTATTTCATAGTCACCTCTTTCATTAACTTGGTAAGCTTGCGCACATAAAACTAATGAATATACACATAATTCACAGCCTCAAATTAGGGATTTTCAAGCTTTTGTTCAATTGAAATAAGTGCCTACTATAACTGGAGTTTAAATTATAACATCATGACGTCCCACTCTCTACACGCCATGTCCTCCATCCTAATTTAATTGGAAACCCTTCAACTTACGGCTCTCCATGGCAAGGACTGTGATATTATGGACGGCATTTGTCTCTCTATCCAAAGATTTGGCCGTTGTAATCACTCCACTGTTGGCATCGATGTTGAAGTATCTCTCCAAGTCTGTGTTTCTGTCAATTGAATACCTAATTGAACAATTAAAAAAAAAACCCTCAACATTTATGTTTGATTATAATTTGCTTAATTTATTTCATTAAATTGCCAAATTTATTTCATTAAATGAATAGCCAGTCACCAAGTCCTCCGGGCTCCACAATCGGTCATATTGATAACAATAAGTGTGTGCTTGGTTTAAAATGTCCTTGATGTTGTACTTGGTTCTTCACCTGCTTGTTGGTAATCCCTTTGCTTTTCGCCAGACTGCACAAAATCAACTCCACAGTACAGTTCTCTTCACAAAAGTTTTGAATGTGCCATTATAAACGTCAAATAATTATATTATTCTTATTATCCTAAGAACCACTTTCAATGGATCTGGCAGCCCTGGTCATGGTTGTAGGTCCCTCTCAAATGAAACATATGCAGACATCTTGCCCAATCCCATGTACTTGGTTACACGTCTTGTGTTGATAACACCAGCCTGATCTTAACCCGCTTTTGAGGGTGTATCTCTTATTTTGGGATATTGACCACAGTTCAACAGACAGATTTCAAGGTACAACTCCTAACATTGCATGCATATTTTTCTGTGTAAATAATTGTCAAACAATATCCACTATCCAAACATTAGTGAAAAATCTTTCTTATTGGGTCTAATTTTCTGTCTCCTACACAAAATTCACTCTGTGTTCACAATGACTCCCTTCAGATTCCACTCAGAGTCTTTCTAGTTGGAAGAATTAAGGGCCCTCATTTAAAAACAAGTAGTTAAACAGATAAATAAAAAATAATTAGATAAATAAACATATACCCAATTTAGGCCAAGCAAGAATTTTACATTTACACAGCAGTTCTCAACTATTACTAAAAAGAAGAATCAACTTCAAGTCTGCTGTATTACAAAATGCAAGAAACATAAAAAGAGGAGGGATCCAAAAATACTACAACAGAAAATTAACCATAAACCAATATATATTATTGTCTTTGTGCTGTAACAGGTATTTTGGTGTTGAGAATCTGAGGAAGTTAGTTTGGGATGGCTTCTATATTCTCGATGGCATATGAAACAAGGTTATGAGCTGAGAGAGCAGGGAGAAGAAGGGGGTTTGAGTAAAGAGAAGTAATTTTTTTCAGGATGGACACACACACATGCACTAAGTACGTTGGGACAGCTAAGCCTTGTGGATTGACCCTTTGAGGTTTGTGGTCATGAACGTGAAACCAGCCATCCTCTTTGACTTGCTCCATCTCACGCATAACAAGCGGAGGGTTGCATGTACTGAGCTGTGGACAGTAGACAGGGAGAGAGGCCAAGGAGGCGAGGGACACACGCACAGGAGTGGTACTAAGGAAGACCCACACTGTATAACTTCGTAAGAGAGAACAGAAGAAATCAAAGGCGGATGTTGAGAAGACGTTAGTAGCAGCAACAGATTACAGGTCTTCATCAGAATGCAGAATTCCAGGGAGGGACGTGGTGGGCAGAGAGAGAGAAGCTTGACGTGGCTTTTCAACAGCAGCATAGATATGTGTGCAAGAGGTGACCAGCCAAACACGTGGCCATTAAAACCTGTGACTGAACTGGGGCCGAGGGACAGACGATGGGGACAAGAAGACTGAAAACGTGAGACATCAAGTTTGAGGGGTCGTGGGTGTCGTTGAATCAGTTACATCATGCCAGGAGGGATGGTGGGAAGGAATGAAAGGAAACTGAAATCTTTAATGAGTCAGCATGCTTATATTGGGGGTTGATCGCCATATGGAAGATTCTGAGTAAAGTCTGATAAAGTATTCTGCCAAACAGTTAAAGGTTTTTTCTTTCATTTTAATTGTTGTTCAAGTACAGTTTTTTGCCTTTTCCCCCGACCCCAGCCCACCTTCCCAGCCCCCATCTCCCCCCCATTTCTACCCCCCATTATTGTCCATGTGCCCTTTATATTTGTTCCTGCAAACCCTTCACCCTTTTCCCCTAAAGTGCAGATATATATTATCCACAAATTAATGGACTTGAAGTTTTGAAGGAAAAATTAAACACGTAGTTGAAACCATCAATGGACTCACTCTCGCCTACAGAATCTGTGTTCCATGGCGTGTAAGAGAAAAAAAAATCTTCCTCAAGATTCCCCAAAGTTTCTCCTTATCACCCTTTATTACAGCCGAGTGAGTGACTTTCGTCACATCAAAATCAAAGTGTCTCACCGAAGCTGCCCAGCTCACCTGTTCTGGCCTCTCAGGAATGTCCTCCTCGGAACTAGACATTTGTCCTCTCATGCAGCTTTCTTTGAAGTTAAAGCAAATGTTTCTATCTTAAAAAAAATTCCTCCATTTGTGTCAAGTTCATCTTTGGCCTCCATGCTGCCAAATTCACCGTTCACATCTCCGTTCTGTTCTGCCTGTCTCTCTCCTCCAGGGATTCCAGTTGGCCCCGTGCTCCTCCTCAAGACACACTGTCCTCTTGCCTTGAGGAATGACACCACATCACCCCGCTGCCATCCCACTTCACTGCCTGGTCCTTTGCAGTCGCCCTGGCCGGCTGAACCCCTCCTCGTGATCTGCAGCTACCTGAACTCCCCCGAACACCTCCCGTGGCCTTCTTCTCTCCTTTGCATAACCCCTTGTCCTTAGCACCTCACACAGCCCCACGGCTTAAACGCCTTGTACGTTTTCTGTTGCTCCCAAATTTAGATAGAATACCCTTGCCCTTCTATACTTAGGCACTGAATTGCCCGCTTCATATCACCACGTGGATATATAGCGTGAAATGAAATGAAACACATCCAAACTGATGTTGTGACTCCTACCATCTCCCAGACCACTTCCTCCCTCGTCGTTTCTCCTCTGACTCAGCGACACGACCAGTCACTCGATGGACCAGATTAGCACTCTAGCCCTGGTCATCGACTGGGCTTCCTCTCACCCCTGCACACAAGTCTCAACACTGCGCTCAGCACCTTCCGTTCAAGTTACCACCACGTCAGCCCGGCTTGACATCATTTTACCTGCTATCCGCATATTTCCATTCTTACTGTCCGCAATCCACTTTCCACACTACAGCCAAACAAACGAGAGGATTTTATTTAATGTTACAAATAGACTTCAATCTTAAATAGTATAGCTAGATTTTCTTCCCTGAAACGTTGCTTTAGGCCAACATTGTATGCCAGTATTTCATATTGTGAACATACTGTATATGCAGACTATATATGCATCCTTTTGCGTGTATGTGTATATGTATATAAACTACATATATACGTACATATGTATATAGTCAATATATACATACTTTAATATATATATAAAAGTATATTTATATCAGTGGATTGGGCGCGGGCTGGGAACCTAAGTGTCCCAGGTTCGATTCCCAGCCAGGGTACATTCCTGGGTTGCAGGCCATGGCACCCAGCAACCGCACATTGATGTCCCTCTCTCTCTCTCTCTCTCTCTCTCTCTCTCTATCTCCCTCCCTTCCCTCTCTAAAAATAAATAAATAAAATCTTTAAAAAAAGTATATTTATAAATACTATAATATATAATAGTATATAATACTTTTATATATATTATCCACAAATTACTAGAATTGATATTAATGTTTGACAAGAGGATTATAACCTATTACCTATGAACACATGCATCTATCTATTAAGCCAATACTAAAAGCCTCATTTGTTCCTAGTTTCCAAATCACTATGACAACGTTTCCACATTCAGGATCAACCGGACTTCTACATTCTGACCAAGCAAAAAGGCCTTGAACTTGACAACGCTTATAGAAAGTTGTTCATTTAATCCCCCACAGAGCTCAAGTCAGCGACTAAAACACGTGCCTCTGTTCTCAATCGCCTCGGAGTTTCTAGGATTAGAATAGTGAACATTTAAACTTGAAAGTTCATTTAACATGTTAAATGTCTTCAAGTTCTATCCACCTCACAGAAAAACCGCATAACCTCTTAGAGAAGCAGTTGTTCCCTAGGCCTCTACATGTCTTGAAGAAGATGAACACCAAAGTTTCTATCATTCAAATTACTGTAATTTCGATGGGTTGGCCAAAAAATCCATATTTGTTTTTCATAAAATAAAAGACTTCATTTTCACCAATCCGTTTATTGATTTAGTGTATCAGCTATCTCCCACATAGTAGAGTGTTGTTCTCAATTAACGTCTTGACTTGGCTGCTGTTAACTTCGGCTGGTCTGCCTGACGGACCATGGAGCATCATCCACTGAGAAATTTCCAGCACAGAATTTTGCAAAACACTTTTGACACGTATGATCAGTCACAGCACCTTCTGCATACACTGCACCAATCTTTTTTTTTTTGCATTTCAGTTGCACTTTTACCTTTCTTGAAGTAATAAAGCATAATACCCAAAAATGTTGCTTATTTTCTTCCATCTTCAATGTTAAAATGGCTACACAAAAATTCACTAATTTTGATACATTTCTTGAAAATGCACACTGATATGATAGCTGTCACAATGCAATCTAACAGTGAAGCTGAAGAGAATTAAGTGCCACTAGATCCATCTTATGGGAAAAAAAGAAACAAAAAAAACACACAAATGAACAAATGTTTTGGCCAACCCAATATATCATAAACTACATATCATCCACTTATAAGTGTATCTATTTTTAAGAGTTATAATTCTCTCATCATCTTCCCTAAATAGCACAGTCTTAACTGTACATATTTGGTAACTTGTGAATTATCCCAACATTCTTATCTCGTGTTTCCCTTTCATTATTCATGCAATTATCAATTAGTCTTAAGCACCTGCGTGTGACACTCTATTTCAGGAAATACAGTATGTAAATAAAATGTTTTTAAAACAGCAACATATAACACACATGTAGGAGGAAGCCAACACATCTCTGCCCTAGAGTCCGAGGAGGACGTCAGGGCAGACGTGGGGAGAGGATGGAGTATGGGCTCGCGAGGAGAGGGAGGGCCTCAGAGAGAGCGAGGGGCCGACAAGCGGTCCAGAGCAGGGGTGGTGGCCAGTGTGTCTCTCAGTCACAATGACTTAGGA